ACCGGAAAAAACAGATGGAAGAAAGCAAAAGCAATAGCAACAACAATAACAATAGCAATAACCAAGCTGTAACAATGACAGAGTACTAGAAAACCAAAGTGGAAGATAGTACTAAAAACAACCCTAAAACTAGCACTCTAAGAATCAATGACAAGGTACTAGCAAGCTATCCCTAATAAACCCGAAACGGGTCAAAAAAATTACACTACGACCTATTACCTTTCTACCCTGATCTTCGATCTCCATACCCTCCTATCAAGGGCCATGTCCTTGGTAAGCTGAAGTCACGACATGTCCTGCTTGATCATCTCTCCCCAATACTTCTTAGGCCGCCCTCTACCTGGGATTTTATCAAACATCTTCCTATTTCTGGGTGTCGGCTCTACGTTACTAAAAGCTCACATAAAGGAATGATATTGAAATTCTATAAGTTCCAAGATGAATCTTTTCTGATAATTATATGGATCTATGGTGCCTTTGGATCTCAATCCTGCTACTAGCGATTTCAAGTTCTCATGCCATTCGTCCCTTTCACTTAAATGAAAAGCTTGCACTGCAATTAGTAATGTGGGAAAGTTAAAATTATGATTTCCAAGTAATATGATTCCTAAATCTTAGCCGGTCGCTCTTTGTTTGACGGATATTTTTAATTGAAAACGCCCTCAGGAATCTCTTATCAAACTAATAGTTGAGTTAAATGGCCATCTCATCTAAAAGATTAAGCCTTTAGAGAGTGTTCACTTTTATTTGCTTAGTTATGTCACGTGCGGCCTTGAATTTTTTTTCACTAACAGACTCATTTGCAGAAATATAATAAACATAGTAGTGGTGTTAACGAATTCTGAGGCTCATTGATAGACAATCACTATGTTAGTAACGAGTGCGGGTGTTTAGGTTTGTATTGAGATGCACTTTTATTTCTTGGTTAGTGACTTTGAGCGACCTTTTTAACCCAAAGGACAAAGATGTGAGAACTTGATGGGAATCAATTAATTGACTTTGAAATTTTAGTCTTTGTGTACAATTTCTGTTCCATCTTTGAGTGCTACCTAGACCTTAAGTTGTGTCATTAATCCATTATTTGAGCTGATTTATTTTCAGATCTGCTCCTCCGTCTCCAACTTCCCACCCTTCTTTGTGACAGTTCGGAATAGAGAGTTGGCCATCTTCTCAAGTTGATCAATTGAATTAGTATCAACCTCTTGATTACCATGTTTCTAAATGCGCAGGCTACAATTGGTATTGATTTTTTGTCGAAGACAATGTACCTTGAAGATCGAACAGTTCGCTTGCAGCTCTGGTATGCCCTCTCTTTATTTCTAGGTTAGAAATGCTGGATATCATTTTGTGCTCTTATCTTTTTCTTGGCTAAAATTGCAGTTTCATTCATTTTTAGTGTTGTTGTCTAAGAATATACCTGAAATATGAAAGGAAACCTAGAATTGTTTAGTTAGTTAGATGAACCTTAATTGCAACACTTGAACACTAAACACGCCCGCAAATATTTATTTGTGATCCTTGGTTACTTATTGTTGGGGTTTAGGAAGAGAAGAGGCGAAGAAATTTAATTATGCATATGAATATTTTATGGTTGTCAAAGAAAGAAGCTTGATTAGGAGACTATATATCCTTCCAAATAGAAGCAAAGACCTGTTGAGCACGGTAGAGTTGAAATGCTTTTGAACATCGTGCCTAGACATACTAATGCCCCTAGGTTGGAAGGTTGGTTAACCTAGTTCTTTGCAAAGCATTACATGCTTTTAATTAGAGGCAAGTGCAGAAGTAATCTGCATCTTTAGAACCAAAGTTATGCTGGATACAGTTGAGATGAAATGTTATCATAAGACCATGCCTATTCAAACTTCTGCACCTAGAACAGAGGTTAGTTTTCCTTATCACTAGCAAAACCTTCTACATACAAAGTATAGAAAGTAATCTGTACCTCAAATAGAATTAGTGTCCATTAGTAATTGTTAACGTTTTATGTGGTTTTGTCAGATGCTGTTGCACCTTGGATTCTAATCATCTTAAGGATGATTTAATAGTTTGTTTATTAACCATTGCTTTTATCCTTTTCCTAATGTAATATCTTTACGTATACAGGGATACTGCTGGTCAGGAGAGATTTAGGAGTCTTATTCCAAGCTACATCAGAGATTCTTCTGTCGCTGTAATTGTGTATGATGTTGCCAGTGAGTAATTGATTGAAATGTCTTTATAGAATGTTTCTTTGTGCCCTTCGTGGCATGCAGTATGATATTTGTCTTTGATTACTCTTTATCTTTTATTTGCCACGACATATTCTTTTATGATAAATCATCGCATTCGCAGACCGCCAATCATTTCTAAACACTTCAAAGTGGATTGAGGAAGTACGTACTGAACGGGGCAGTGATGTCATAATCGTTCTTGTTGGGAACAAAACTGATCTTGTTGATAAAAGGTGGGGTTTGCAAATGGTTGCTTCTTTTGTTGATTTATTTCTTTTGACAATTGCTTTGCCCACTTATCTAGAGCTGTACCTTTTTCATGGTTTACCTTTTCCTATTTTGTTTACCATTGGCATGATTCGAACTATGAGCTTCTTCATTTCTGGTTAGGCCTAGTAAACCTTGTAGCCTGTAGTTTCTTTAGGATTCATAGTCATGCCAAGAATTTTGCTCTCAGCATCCATATTGGTATGCCATTCTGTAATACATGCTCCGGCTCTTGAATATTATTTTCAAATGTATACAGCTTATAGCTGGAGGGAGTTTGAGCGTAGACTTTGTTTTTTGGCATGGTCTGTTGCCAGTTAGCTTCTCTCTTCCTATATTCTTCAGAAAAATAAAACCTGCTTTTTAAAGATTATCGATAAGGGGAAATTGGATTTAACTCTATTATAATATGATGTCAATCTCTTGCACTATTTCTCTGATTTGGACGATGATGTTTAAACAGGCAAGTATCCATTGAAGAAGGTGAAACCAAGGCTCGAGAGTTTAACGTAATGTTCATAGAAACCAGTGCTAAAGCTGGATTCAATATCAAGGTACAGTCATCTAAAGCCCTATGTACAATTATGGTTCTATTTCTTTTGCCCCTTGGTCAAATTATGTTATGGAGCTGCAATCTCCTATTCATCCCTTAATATTTGTGCATAACATAAGATTTGACTTCATTTCCTTTTCATAGTTGTATAACCTTGGAGCAACAATAAAATTGTCTCGTGTGACCTATAGGTCACGGGTTCAGCCATGGAAGCTAGCCACTAATGCTTGCATTAGGTAGGGTACTTACATCACACCCCTAGGGGTGCGGCCCTTCCTCGAACCCTGCGTGAATACGGGATGCTTTGTGCACCGGGTTTCCCTTTAGTTGTATAACCAACTAATATGCAAATAGGATGACCCTAAAATGTGATTGAACATTACAGCCTCTGTTCCGAAAGATTGCTGCTGCTTTACCGGGAATGGAAGCCCTTTCATCCACAAAGCAAGAAGATATGGTTGATGTGAATTTAAAGCCCACCTCAAGTTCATCTCACACAGAGCAGCAAGGAGGAGGTTGCGCTTGCTAGATTTTGTACTTAACAAGAGAGAGATAAGAAGTTGAACATACACAAAGATGCAGTTGCATCCAATTTACTACTATAGATGTTCAATTAGCTCATTTATTAGATCTTGATGAGGTTTGGAACAATTTTGGGTTTTTATTCACGTCGTATGACAAGTTCTTTCAATTTCTGATGGTGAGGTAGCTGATACTCTGTGCTCTGGAAAACCATTAAAGATCCAGTGGTTACTGTCAAAACTTGTGATTATATATATGTTGTGATTCCTAGTTCAGGAATCCTTTTCTTTTTAACCATTTCTTAGCAGAATATACGATGAAATGGCATTTGTAATTGTTTTCATTTCAGTTTTTGTGCTACCACTTTATGTTGATTTTCTGCAGTTGCTATTAAAAAAGGTTCAAGCGTTCCCTGTTATTTGTGTGTTGTTTTAAACCCTTTTTCTAGAATGCATGAACTTTAAATTACTCAATGCCAATGACCTTGTAACATGTTAACATGCCATTTACTAGAGCCTAACATACTTTTTCTTCTGGTTGATAAATATTAGATTCGTCAGTCCAGGCTGAAAATACATGCATAGATAGTGGTTTAATGTCAGGGCCGACGATGGAAGCTCGGGACGTACTCCAAGTTGTTTGCAAGGATTGGTTTGGATTTGCTTGATAAATAAATATATACACACTGAAACCACTTAAGAATAAATTAAGTAAATATTAATTTTGGACATGAAGTAAAATTTTAGCATGACCGTATATAATTTCAAATTCAAACCACTTAAAAATCGAATTGTGTCAATAGACCGATACTACTTAGAACAGACTCTTGCATATGTGCCTAGCTACTAGGTCTTGAGAAGTTGACAATAATCTACAATACCTTAATTCTTAACACAAATGCCTCCTCTTCTTTGTTCGCCACATGATAAAAGAGACTTATCCGAGGAACCAAGAGCTACCAACTTAAGTCAACAACTTGAGTGAAATGTAACAATCACAAGTAAAAAGAGTCACAACTAGTCCAAACGAACAATCTAATACAACTAGTCCAAACGAACAATCTAATGATTAAAACATCACAATTCAAATTCTATCTAAGACTCTAAGTGATTGTGTGATCTTACTTTTTTATTTAAATATGTGACGAAAGATAGAGTTTCTCGTGCCATATCTAATATAGAGAAGATCGGCTTATAATATTTTTTACCAGTTAAACCATTTGATATTCGGAGCCCGTGATCCGACTCTGCTAAAAAGTCTGAATTTGCCTTCCATTAATAGTTAGGATTAAATATGCCCTTGGCGTTAGCAAATCGGACCAAATATACCCTAATCGTATAGTACAGGGTATAGCAGCAAAAGTTTTAAACACGCAGCATTTTAAGCTGCTAAGGGCGTAAATCTAATTCCCAATAATTAGAGGGACCAAAGTGTAACGGTTTAAACAAAACTAGTCCATTATTTTAATTCCGTAGTATTTTCCTTCACATTCAGTATAGTTGAGCTCTGAATCTTCATCAATGGAAGAAGACGATCACCTCTCAAAACCCACCACCACCACCGATCCTTCAGATTCCGCTCTCCAACGGAAGCATGCTGCAATGATCGAACGCCTTTCAAATCTACACCAATCCCGTTCGACCCGCAAACCCGAATCCGAATCAAACTCTACAAGCTCCTTCCTTTCTCGTTTCTCGGAATCCAAAAACTCCATTGAATCCACACTCTCCCGCATCCGTCAAACACCCGACCCGCATTCCAACCCGACCCTAAAACCCGAACTCGACAACGTCTCGCTCTCCATTTCTAATCTCGAAAAGCTCGTCGCTGAAAACTCATTTTCCCTTCCTTCTTACGAAGTACGCACGTGCCTCAAAACCGTAGCAGATCTCAAACAAATAGTCGAACAGGTCGCGTGCGATGTTATCCCGAAGAAGAAATTCTCATTCAAGAACAAATCAACAAAGAAAACCACAACCCAAAATGATGATTTAGGGGTTAGGGTTTTGGATAACAACAGCCAAAATGTGGAATCGAGGGATTTAGGGTTTAAGGTTTTGGATTCTCCGGGATTTAGGGGAAACGAAAATGAGGTGTTAGTGAAGGAATTTAATAATAGGGGCAGTGATGAGGAGATTAGGGAATTTGTGCTATCAGATTTGAGAGGTTGTGAGGTGAGATTAATGGGGAATATAAGGGCATTGTTTGTAAATAAGCTGATTGATTGTAAGGTTTATGTTGGACCTGTTTTCGGGTCGGTTTTGATTGATGAAGCTAAAGATTGTGTTTTTATGATGGCATCGCATCAGATTCGGATTCATCAAGCAAAAATGTGTGATTTTTATCTTCGAGTGAGGAGTAGGCCGATAATTGAGGATAGTAATGGTGTAAGGTTTGCGCCATATTGTTTGAAGTATGATGGGATTGAGAAGGATCTTGAAGAAGCTAATCTTGGTGAAGAGACGGGGAATTGGTCCAATGTCGATGATTTTAAGTGGTTGAGGGCAGTGCAGTCTCCAAATTGGTCAATTTTGCCTGAAAATGAACGACTTGGCGCGGTGGATATTTCAACTCGAGATGCAAAGATTAGTTGCTGAAAAGTTTTCGTCTTGATGAGTGGTTTAGTATGTTGAATCTTGAATCCTCAGTGTGCAAAGGAGGTAACTTTTTTGTTTATCTTCTTAATTTTACTTGAATCTGTTGAGGAATAAGGATGCATTAGCTTTTGTTGTTTAGTTGCATTACTTACTAGTTACTCTACTAGTTATTCTTCTGTTTTAAGAAATGATCTAATTTTATAGAATAGAAAGATTATGCTAAAGCTGTTGCCTTCCAGTATAAGTTGTGACCTATTACAAGTTCGCTTTTTGCTATTGGATAGATAGATTTCGTTATGTGTTCTGTTACCTATTTCGTATCAACTTCTACTTGCTATTAGCAGTTGTTGGTGTATACCTGTGTTTTTTGGCTTTCTGTGGTTTTGTGATTAATACCACATACTTTGGTTGGAATACATACTGTATTGTCCCAAGAAAGGGTGGTTTGGGACGATGTTACTCTCCTAGGCTTTGGTAAATATATGCTTACTGCTGCTCTCCTTAAAAGGAAAAGGAAAAGGAGATTTTATTTTGCTTTACTAATTATCTTATACTTAAAAGCAGGGTATCAGTAGAATCAATGCTTTGGAGTAAGTCATCTTTGAAGAAGTATAGAGACTAAAGGAGGGTAAAAAAGGTTTAAAATTACACACTATAGAGTATCTTCAGGGTAGAAATGAGGAGGTTCTAGGGCAGTGACAATAAAGGACGTCAAAGTTATTCTTGTTCTTTAATGTTTCCAAAGGGATTAGCTAACCTAATCCTAGGACTCGCCCATTAACTTCGAATTAATTTTGGAAAATATAATTTGGGGTTGGGAAAGATTAATTAACAAGAACTTGAGGTGTTAACCCTCACATTATAGATTCTACCTAGGGATAGAATTGAACTACTTGTAACCATATTCGGGTGTATTTAATCTCTTAATTGTTTTAGGGATAATTCAATTAGGAAGTCTTAGTAGTCTTCGGAAGAAGCTAATAAAGAATTATTACCCGAGGGCCGAGGCTAATTAACATAAACTCGCTCATATTTGTAAAATCGTGAAATACATTGGATCGTTACTTGAGTGTAATTCCCCGTGTATATAAGCTTGTAGCCATTGATCATTTTAGCTTTCTAGGTTAGTTTACATTTCCGCATTTAGACATAAATATTTTCTCAAAACCCTTTTAAGTGTTTGGCTTAGTATAATAAGTGATAATTCAATGCGAAAATTGTTATGGATTAAATTATAAGAAATTTTTGAAATCAAAAATGAATATTTGTGAACAATGTGGATATCATTTGAAAATGAGTAGTTCAGATAGAATTGAACTTTTGATCGATCCGGGTACTTGGGATCCTATGGATGAAGACATGGTCTCTCTGGATCCCATTGAATTTCATTCGGAGGAGGAGCCTTATAAAGATCGTATTGATTCTTATCAAAGAAAGACAGGATTAACCGAGGCTGTTCAAACAGGCATAGGCCAACTAAACGGCATTCCCGTAGCAATTGGGGTTATGGATTTTCAGTTTATGGGGGGTAGTATGGGATCCGTAGTCGGAGAGAAAATCACCCGTTTGATTGAACACGCTGCCAATCAAATTTTACCCCTTATTATAGTGTGTGCTTCTGGGGGCGGGGGGGGGGGCGCATGCAGGAAGGAAGTTTGAGCTTGATGCAAATGGCTAAAATATCGTCTGCTTTATATGATTATCAATTAAATAAAAAGTTATTTTATGTATCAATCCTTACATTACACGCCTAATCGCCTATATATTGTTCTCTGTGGTATTCGACCCCGACTCTTTGTTGGGTATATTATATTGCATGCGACCGTGTCCATTTACTTTTTAGTAGTGGATTTGAACGTCATCACGCCTTCTATTTATTATAACCCGGTAACAATTCTTTACAAAGATGTACAAAAAGGAATAGTTTAAGCTATTACAAAACTGGCTAACTATTACAAACGGATATGAAATAAATAATTTGGGCCACTCATATTTTTTGCTTTGAGCCTGAAGCTGAATATTCAGATAGCTCAATACCCACTTCAAGTTGGTGGGAGAAACCACGTTCAACTTGCCCAGAAAAGAATGATGAAGAACACCAGGTAGGGGCTTTGTAAACACATTAGAGACATGAGATAAGTGGATCAATCCCCCATTCAGCTTGGTTCAGATGAAGCGACAATTCACTTCTATATGCTTGGTATGCTCGTGAAATACCGTTGCCCTAGGAATTATCATTTTCAGTCTGGCTCTGGAAATTCGTCCCGCATTAGTATGTGAATTAGTCGAATAAAATTTTAATATAATAAAGTAAGGTTTGAGGCTCACTATTATAGGCGGATATAAAGTCCTATCTTGTAGTTACAGATGAAATAAATTTAACTTTCCTATCTTGTAGTTACAGATGAAATAAATTTAACTTTTTTTTAAAGATCCAGTAGATGTTGAAGGTGCAGTTGGCTTCCATCTAATAGCTTTTGTTCTCTATCGTATTCTGTTTGCCCTCCCATCCTTGTGTTGGGTGTTAAAAGATTGATCAGAATACAAACTATAATGCATTTGGTTAGGAAAGTATTTTCTTAATTGTTAGTAGCTTTATTTACCAAGTTTGTTAGTTGTAGTGGCTTCCTTTAAACTCATTTGAAGTTGAAATGTTTCTTGAAAGTTCTCTTGCTTGTCCTCCATTACGCCAAGTATTTGGTTATAAAATGCAAAAAGATGTATTTTGTTATAGCATGACATTTACTTTATTCTTTGAGTTATCAATCGTTATTATAGACTGTCAGTGTACCGAAGGTAAACTTCATATAAAATAGGTTGTAATTAACTGTCAGTGTCATAGAGTTCAGTGTCTATTAGCTGTTCTTATGATGTCAATGGCCACTTAATTTAAGCCAAAAAATGGGAAACAATGGCCCGATGGCTGAAGAAATGATTTGGTAGTAGGTTCAAATGTAGATATGCTTGTTACTTTAGTTTTGGTTTTCATTCCTTGTTCGGTAATTTTATTGGGTCCAACTAAATTCAAATTCGTACTGAAAAGTCCCATATTAGAGTAAAGTGTTTCCTAACAGACACGACTTTATACTCAGAGCTCGAACCTGAGACCTTTGGTTAAGAATAAAGAAGTACTTATGAATCCATCACAATCTTTGTGGAAGATTCAACAAATTATAATCTTAATATGTTTCGTTGATGCTTTTGTACAATAAGCTTTTAAAATATCTTCATTTCTACATTGCTGGGAATAATGGTTGGGAAAATAGATCAAGAGTTTTATTTTTATACGAAATGTTGTAGGAGATTTGAATATTCTTTTTTTGAAGTAAACTTTTGATTATTCACTGCAAACTCTTAGAGTGTTACCCTAGAAGAAAATGAAAATTTTAGTCTTAAAATTTGAGAGACACCTCCTTTTATGTATTAAGTTAGTATTAATTATGAGGTCACTAGGAAAAGAGACCATTTTAGCAAAGCTCTAATCCTCTCTAAGGCCCCATATTAGAGTAAAGCATGATCTTGAAACTAGATTTACTCGTTCTTGTTTCCGGTGATTAACCTATTCCAGAGCAGCCTGGTGATTAGGCTATCCTGCACTACTCGAAATCTTGGCAAACTCATTATTAGTTTCTATCGTAGTGGAGGTTGTTGTACGTAAGAAGATCCTTGTGCTAGTGAAAATTGTTTCCCGTGATCGAAAAATCAAAAATATAAAAAAGATATTGCTATATTTCCTACACTCTAGACAGGCGGAAGGATCTATGTCCCGCCCCAACTTCCTTTCAATCCACATTGGAAAGTCTAGTCACCCTAAATTAAATGACTGCTATTTAGGAATTAGCTAGTGCGTCTTGAATTTTAATTTTACTGGACAAAAATGTCTTGAGTTTTTTCTGAAATTAAGGTTTTTAGTTAAAATTTCAGGACAAAATGAGTATTAGCTAATCTCTAAATAGCATCCTAGGAATGACTATCTGCATTAAAGATATAAAGAAATTAGGAGATAATTTGTTTGGTCCCACTTGTTTTATTATGGATTTCAACCAAAGTTGTTAATTGGATTATTTTAGAAGCTGATTAATACAAAAATAAATCAAACTTTCTACTACTAAAGTATATACATTTCACGTGTATTAGACGTAAGGAACTGTTTATTTTCAACGTAGCACGTATGATGTGCTTCAAATTAAAATTTTGGTTGCATTCTTAATTAAATAACTGTGGCTAGCCTAGTGTAGAACTGTCAGTATCAAAATACTGTTTTATAAAGAAAGTAATCTGACTTGTTTAATGCTGATAATTAGTCTTCTTTTAGTTATTCTCTTTTAATATTGGGAAAATCTAATGAAACTTATGATTTATTGATTTGTCGTTTTTTTGTTTGTTTTCCCAACTCCAGAAGAAAATATTAGTAGTAAAGTAGTATGCTTAAGAACACTTTCTTTAATTAATAATGTTGCGTGTAAGAAGGGAAAAGCCAATATCTTATTTTCTTTAGCTGCCTCTTTAAAAAATAAACTCAATTTTTAGGGTATTCATCCCTTTAATTTATGACATAGTTTGAATCGTCGTAGAGCTTAAGGAAAAAAAACTGGATTTTTGAAATTTATAGTCTAAAATATGTTATAATATTTGTATGTATAGTTATAAAATTTTTGAAAGTTATGATCTTAAACAAATCATAATATTTGTGAGGTTATAAATTTTCTCACGGTAATATGAGAAGTGTAAAGTTAGTTATTTGAACTAGAGTTTGTGGTTTTTTTTTTAAACGGACTTGAAAAAAGCATGCCCCATAAATTAGAACGAATGTATCATGTATGGATGGAGTATCAGCATCAGTTCCCCACATATAGTCAAACTACTAACAACGCAATTTTCTGGAAATCCTTTTTTTTTTTCTTTCTCCTCTTATTGCTGTCGGCACATATTTTATTTTTAAAAAAAATCCCAAAGAAATTTTTACCTTCATTAACCCCTTGTTCAAGAAAGTTAGTTAAGTTTTCTTATTTATTTATAATATTTTTCTATTTTTTTTTATCCAGTATTCGTATTGGAACCCAATTAAATTCAGGTTTGCCCCGGGAAGTTTCACAATGGGGGTAAAGCACTCTCTAATTAGAGGCGGATCCAGGATTTCAAAAGGATGGGTGCACTATTATGAAGAGGTGAATCAAGAATTTATATTTGACGGATTTAATTATAGTGTCTACCATGAACCCAATATATTTTTGAAATTTTAGATTCAAAATTATATTCTTTTTGAAATTTTAGTGATTTTTACTTATATATCTATATC